TAAACGCTTTCTTTTTTTCTCGAGAAACCCGATCAGGCCATGAGTAGAAAGTAGACGGAAACAAATCCTTTTATATGGTAATCAACTTGTGACAAATTAGGCCTGGAAGATGAATCCGTCAAACTTACACAAAACCGCCTACAGTTGTCCAAGCAATAACACATGACTTCATTGCATCGAATCTGTCGGACGTTATTGCCTTTTGCATTATACCGCCGTCTTAGCTTGTCCGTGAAAATGTAAATAAATTGCCATATGGAGTTTGGTTTGAAATTCAAATAATGTTTTTGTTTGTGATGTGTTTTTGAATGGTCCGATCTGTAACGCCTCATGACCTCAGGCTGCCAGCGGTGTGACAAAATGTAATTCATGAAGGAAATGATTCAATTTGTCTGTAACCTTGACGAGAGAGAGAAAGAGGGGTGGTTGTTGTAGTAAATGACAAATGGATTGGAACATTTTTGGTTCACAAATATGTCATCAGTAGTTTCATTCACTCGTCCGTGGTTTAAATTTCAGTGTTGCATCGCAAGTTACAGAAAGCACACAACATTGGATAATGCCTTTGTAATTCCAGATACAACCCCTAACAATATCTATCCCTTAATGTGGCTTTGACTAGTGCACGAGCCAAGGCTTAGGTCCTGATCCTGATTGGCTCTTTGGTTGTTCGTTAGTTGCTATGCGATATATTTGCTTCGTATTCCCGGCCAAAAAAAAAAATTACATTCAGGTTACTCAACTCTTGGCCTTCACACGCCAACTTCAGGGATAACAAAAAAAAAAAACTGATTTCTTCAATTGTTAATGGTCATATCTTGATTTCCAAAGACAATATCAAAATACACAGGGAGCACGTCGAGAATCATAACCTGACAGTCCAACAGGAGCGGCGGTTACTTAAAAGGAGCCAAAGGCAGTATAGGCGCAAAGTACCATGAGCAACTTTTCTATTTGGCTTCAGCTATCTAGTGGGAAAGCTCTGTCCTATCATAAATTCTATAGACACATCCCTGGCATTCACGATCAGATATTTTTACAACCAGCACAGCATTTGCAGGCAGAAAAGTGAAGCAGATGGAGCCTCCGATGCTCAGCCGTCATCCCAAAGTGGCTCTTTCTTACATGGATGCAATCGCTAATCGTTTTATAATTAGTTTAACACAACATTGAGTCCCCTGGTTTTATCTCAGGTTTTTCTTTTTAGAATACACTTTCAGGTGCTATAGGCAAGACACTTCACCAACATTGACTAGAATGAGTATGGTGTGTGTGTGTGTGAATGGTTGGTGGTGATTGTAGGAGCAGATGGCACGTACTACAGTAGTTGTCTCGCTTCTGACAGTGAGCCCCAGGGCAGCTATGGCTACAGTTGTAGTTTATTGCCGCTGTGCATGCATGAAGTGAATAAATAAAAACATATGAAGTGTATTTGAGTGTCCAAAACAGCGCTATTTAAAACCCATGCATTATTATTTGTATTATTACTGTCAGTCTATATATTACTTGCACTAGAAAATACAGCATTTTATACTTGCTCCTTATTATGCAAAAGTCAGGGGTGGTCTTGCTTCTTCATCATGCTAAAGTTGGAGATGTTAAGACTTATTTCCTTGTTTTGAGATTATTATGAGATTTTATACTGCTTCTTTTAATGCTAGAGTTAGATAATTTATTTTAGATTTTATTGGATTCTATTTTAGTCTAGAGTTAATATTCATTCATCTTGTTGTGTGCTCCTCATTCCTCCTGCCTGTAACTTGTGATGCAACACTGACATTTCCCCACTGTGAGACTAATAAAGGATTTCTTCATCTTCATCTTAATAAATATGTTTCCAGGCTGCAATCTCTAAAAGAATGACACAAATACCAAAGCAGAACAGTTGTCAACAAACCATTACCTATTGCCTTAATGATGATGTAAAACTCAGCAATATCTGCCTTATCTGGAACACCGCTCGCACACTCAAAAGCCCACAAATGCAAAGACAAACCGTGCTTCCAAAACGGTCCCTGGAGGCCACTGTAAATGTGCCCTTGTGTCGGTGATGTCTTATCTGAATGAGTCGCCGATGGGGAACAAAGCCTGGCGCTCAGTCATCGGAACATGCAGCCTTGAGCAGGAGTTGACCTCAAAGTCCCACTGACATTTATTGCACCTGTGTATAAGCTGTTGTTATCAGGAGTGATCCATGCTCCACACTTCTGCTTATTGCAACATCAGGAAATTCTTTCACGATGGGTTACGTTCGTCATCGTTCTCTCCCGAAGCACGGAGCGTCATCCGTGGCTTGGTCTCGGTTTGAACCCTCTTTAGTTCCGGTCGTTTTGGTCGAGTTCTTGTCCTTGTTTTATAGTGTTCAAGGCCTTAAAGTACTCGTTAGACTTTGTTTTTCACAAATCACAGTCAAGATTATTATTCAATTCAATTCAAATAACTTCAAATACCAGGTCTCCAAATCAGCTGTTTAAAAGGCGAATTGAGGTTGGGAGGAAGCTGGATGTGGCACTTTTTGTTTTGAATGGGAGGGACCTGAACCTACGCCCTGATGGGAGCAGACTGTAGTGTGAGTGCAGATTGTGGGGGCTGTCTGTGGAGGGAGCCTTTCATTAAAACTTTGTTATTGTAAATGTCTGTAAGTGAGTCTTGCTGCTGTCCAATGATTTTGCTGCTGATTTTAATGGTCTTATCGAGTGAATTCCGATGTATGAGACTGACTTTTCTCAGTCGCTTTGGTGCATTTCTCACATCATTCTTCACATTTTCACAACAGTTTGTGCATTTCTCAGAACAATTAGTGCAAACTGCAAAACCTCGTGGATAACCTGCAAAAGTGCATCACTTCCTCAAAAGCAAGTCTTCAGGTCAATGAAACTACAGTAACTGTGTCGTCAAAATAATATGTTCTAACAACATTGAGTATGAACAACACAGCCAAATGACTTAGTCACATTTTCATTGTGAAAGTTTACTCTCTCTGTGTTTTCAATGTAAAAAAGTCAGATCTCGGTGACACTTGGTGAGCTCTATACACTGTACAGCCGAAAACTACAGTAAAGTTATACATGACTCTATTTAGAGGCGTAACTGAATACAAGACACATATGCATGTATGTATCTGTGTATGTATATGTATGTACAGTATGTATGTACTGTGTGGTTTTATCTCAAGAAAGATGCCCGTGTTTTATCCAAAACGTACTGTGTCTCATCCAACTGTCTTGTGAAACGTGCACTGTATGTTACTGCTCTCTGCTGTTTCCTGCTTGTCGCATGGCGCCGCAAGATGGTGCCGTGGCAATAAAACTGATCATGATTCTCATGTATATGTACGTATGTATGTATGTCTGTGAACTGTATTTTTTTTCCACATATTTACTGCACATGCTCTTTGCAATTCTACAGCATTGTGCAACAAAAATACAATCACATACATGTATATACGTAGAACAAAAAGAAATATGATGGTATAACTGTGATAAATGTAAACAATACAACACGCACCTGGTCATGAGTGAAAGCTTAAATGTTCAATTTAGGAAAGATTTCCAGGAAAATGTATGAAATAAGCTTGACAGATTTTGATTTTGAGAACTAGTTCAACAATTTTGTATGTGAGGACTAAAGCAATGAAATGAGGACTATTAGTTTTTATAGTGAATGACTATTCAGAAGTCATAAGTATCTTTCATTCTGACTGACTGAAGCAAATGATAATGTTATAAAACAGCAGAGAATTGTATGAAAGTAACTGATACATGTCCAAAAGCTTTTGAATTGTGTTCAGAGGAATGAGAACTGCTGCGAAGATGTGCACCGATGACTCAATGTTGAGGAAGTTGAACTAACAGTTTTAAGAACTTTAAGTCTGATGTGAGAAATGCACCAAAGCAACTGAGAAAATCTGTAAGTGAACTGCAAAATGACGTGCGCTGACATGCTTGGAGAACCACCCTGGGCCGATGGGGGTGGACCCGGAATAAGAATTATTCAATGCTAACATATAGCATTAGCTGACCTCTCGAAAACACCTTTACTGGATGGTCTAAGAGTTGGCTCTTGGCCCAAAGCTCCGTTCCACATGTGTGTCAATGCTGAGGGGAGTGAATTTTTTTTGGACTGGTCTAGTTTACTAGCTGTGAATTTTTGAAGGTTTAAATGAATACCGTGCCAACTGACGCATGCACAGATGCGTTTTTCACATTTTCCAGCCCCCGCGACCAATTTGAAACCCTAGACTGCGGAAGTTGTGGGACATTAGTTAGAACTGAGAGATAGGCAGGACTACGTGCATTAATATTTACAGTCTATGATAGGGACATCCTTGTATGCATCCATCCATTATAATCTGCTCTTAAGTCCTCGTTGAGTCCTGGGTTTGATCCTTGTCTATTCACATTTAGAAATATGGGTTGAACATACCTTTACCACTGGACAACTTTTTCAATTAAAACATTTTAGTTGAGTTACATAATAGGATGAAATGTCATCGTAACTCCTTAAAAAACACATTCAGAGTCAGTATTTGTTTCTTTGGGCTGAGAACTGACCGGCCGAGTGAGGATGGTCCTTACTTCTAAACTTTTCTGTCTGAAAAAGCTGAACTAAAGATGTGACAAAGGCCAAACAATATATGCATGTGGAAACTAGTGGAAGAAGCAAACTGTTTCTGGGCACATGGAATTGATCACATATTGTTGGAACCAGTTATTGTACTATTATTTATTGAATGTGTATGTGTTCTTCTTGGTCAGTATGATGATGTCAACTGTGTGAGAGGAGGTGTTAAACTGTATTTGTAATGAACATATTCCAAAACAACGACTAAAAACAATAAACGTACGTCACAGATTCTAATTTTGTTCTTAACCTGGACATGGCACATCATAAATTCATTGAAAAATAATCACCCCATGCAAGAAAATGGTCTACCCCCCATTATTTTATCTCACTGTCTTCTCACTATCATTGCACTGACCAAAGTTTGTCCCTGGCAGGTCACCATACTGATCATCCTGGCCCTGGCCTTCCTCGCCTGCATCGTTTTCCTGGTGGTTTATAAAGCCTTCACCTACGACCACGCCTGTCCAGATGGATTCATATACAAGGTACTGCATACCGGCCTCCTCCCCCTGATTTATGGACAAAAACACACACTTGTCTTTGAATGTAGCACTGAGTCAATAAAGGGGTTTAACAAAGTAACCTAGCTATCTGTCATGCGTTTACAAAAGTGGAGGTTTCATGACAAGGCGTGATCGAAGACCTTATTGTAGTTCCATATTTTTTACACATAGCCGTCGCAGTAGCTCTGTATTGTATTGATATTCTAATAGTAGACCACCACCTGATGCTACTGCCTTTCCAGCTTCACAGACATAAAACCATTGCTATATTATTGTATTATCTGGATAGGGTATTGCTTATGCCCCTCTCCAGTTGTGTACAGTAGATCTAGATAGATAGAATTGGAGCAAGTGCTGGTAACCATAGTAACACCCTGTTTACTGCTGTTATATTCACTGGTTTTAGCGTGTAGATAAAGATTAATACTGTATGAATTAGACAGGAAGATAGATAGATACTTTATTGATGCCCTGTAGGAGAAATTCAGGTGTCCAGCTACAGAAAATACATCCATTCCAATAAATACAAACTATACTGTACTGTACTGCAGACTACATTCTCAAGGACGACACAAGAAATATTCCCATTGACTGTAATGTTAACAAAAACGGCTCGTCCTCAGCTGACAGGGAATCTACAGCTTTCACAGAGGTTACATCCATCCATCCATCCATTTCCATCCATTTTCTTCCGCTTTATCCGTTGCCGGGTCGCGGGGGCAGCAGACTAAGCAGAGACGCCCAGACTTCCCTATCCACACACACTTCCTCCAGCTCGTCCGGGGGGACCCCAAGGCGTTCCCAGGCCAGCTGAGAGACATAGTCTCTCCAGCGTGTCCTAGGTGTTCCGCGGGGCCTCCTCCCGTTGGGACGTGCCCGGAACACCTCCCCAGGGAGGCGTCCAGGAGGCATCCGGAACAGATGCCCGAGCCACCTCAACTGGTTCCTCTCGACGTGGAGAAGCAGCGGTTCTACTCCGAGCTCCTCCCGTGTGACTGAGCTCCTCACCCTATCTCTAAGGGAGCGCCCAGCCACTCTGCGGAGGAAGCTCATTTTGACCGCTTGTATCCGCGATCTCGTTCTTTCGGTCATTACCCAAAGGTGAGGGAGGGAACGAAGATTGACCGGTTAAATCGAGAAACCTCTTTACCACAACGGTCCGATACAGCGACCGCATCACTGCGCACGCTGCACCGATCCGCCTGTCAATCTCACGCTCCATTCTTCCCTCACTCGTGAACAAGACCCCTAGATACTTGAACTCCTCCACTTGAGGAAAGACAAAGGTTACAGTGAGGGATTATGGGAAAGCTATACTTAACATGCACTAATTATTCTTTCTGTGACATTGACAATACATTGAATCTTGAATCTTGCATCTAAGATTTCCACCACATTTGTTTGGCCGTGTTACCTTTGGCTGAGAGACGATTTTAATTAAGCTTTTACTTTTCAAATGCAGGTTGGAAAGATTTACTATTACATCAAGGCACTTTGCGTTCAATGATTAAGTTGCAGCTTATTCAGAGTAAAATGTTTCATTCAAGACCAAACCTACAAATTGACTTTTTACCAAGGGGACTGCATTTTTCTCTTCCTCTACTTAAATGTTATGTGTTTTTTTTAAATGTGAAAGTTTAATAAGTAAAGTCAAGACATGAGAACAGAAATAGCAGAAACAGTTACCATTATGGACCAATGGCTCTTGTTTGATTTTCTGATCTGCTTTGATGAATCGACAGTGTTGTAAAGTCCTCCAAGATAACTACTGTTGTGATTTAGGGCTATACAAAAATAGACTGAATGGAAATCGAATTTAAGTCAAGAATTTCATGTATTATTCATCACACCTCCAAATTGCATCTTTTATTGCGATCATCTCGAAATAGATTTTTAAAAAAGCAGTCTTCCTCAACAGTTTTTAGAATTACTCCGATCCCTATATCGCTTCCCATTCTTTGCTGTAACGAGGGTAAATGAGCCTGGTACAGCCTCCATAAAACACTTTCCCATCCGGGTGTCATTCTCATGTAATGGCAAACAATAAAGCTGCCAGCGTGTCCTTGAGCAACGTGTCCTTCACCCTCTCCCCGCGCACTCGCAACCGGCTAAAAAAAGAGACCTGCGGGAACTCAAGCACAACTGCTCCACTTTACTTCAGGATTTTTTACGGCAAATCACCAGAAACTCATGATGATAGAACTGTTATGATCTAATATCATCCATATTTGAATTGTTCTGCGTTTGCCATCTTTTTTGTTTCTTCATTAACTCTAGAACTCCCAGAGCCGTCAATTTGACAGCTTTTGGAAGTGAAATTACTCCGCTTATGTACGTTTTTGGTCCAATTACAACTTTTTCATCCAAACTGCTTTAAATCTTTATATAACAGACTAATGGAGCCCAAGTGATTTTACAGCTCCATTAAAAAAAGTTCCATGCTTGGAATATGTTTTTAGAACACACACGCACACGCACACACATACATACACACACACATACACATACAATTAGACACATACGCACGCACATACACGTACATACATATACACATATACACACGTACACATACACACACACATACACATACATACACACACACATACACGTACACACACACATACACACACAGAATATATAAATGTACAGCTTCAGGCAAAGTCAGCAAAGGTCGATACCCTTTGCTGTTGATACTGCGAGAGAAGGCGCTTCCAACTTGAAGCAGCCATCTTGTGCTTCGCCACGTTAAGTCCGAGCTGAGATCGAACTGTTATTCAGGGGGAGGACCAGGGTAGAGCAGCGAATCAGGCACGAGGAAGACACCAGTGTTTCATGAATGTGGATAGATAAATACTTTATTGATCCACCAGGATACAGCACAAGTTTCATATAGTCAGACAACTGTATGAGTCAGATGTTATTACTGACCAACTGTGAGCCATCACCATCCACAATGACATCACTCATCAGTTAAAGGTATATAGGAGGAATTTCTACTACCGGGTGGATCATCAAGACTATAGAAGAAGAAGGTCCTTTATTCGTCCCACAATGGAATAAATTCAGTTTGCTGCATACACATACAAATATACATATACATATACACATCAAAGCAAGCAGCGAACATCACTTCCGCGCTCCTTATAGGCAAAGCGGGTTAAGTGTCTTTCCCAAAGACACAACAACAGTGGACATCAGTGGGAGTCGGTGGAGAAGGTCTCGTGGTGGACTCGAACCCACGACCTTCGGGCTCAAAGACCAATGCTCCTCCCAATCGTCAATCTTTCTGGTGCTCGTCAAATAAGTCCCGAGAGTTTTGTTCAAAAAAGGGAGAGGGCAGTTCTTTCCTAAAATTTGGGAAAATCCTCCTATATACTTTCAACAGTATTTCCTGAGTGGGAGTGGTCAGGTCTGCGCAGGTCCTCACTTCCTGATTTGTATGGCCAGATTCTGATTTATGCTGCTAAAATCTGGAATAGTCTTCCTGAAAACGTGAGACAGGCTTATTTCAATCCAGGTTAAAAATAGTTAAGCTGTGCATACAACTGAGGGATTTTATCTTTACTCTTTTTAATGTATGGTTAATATGTATGATTTGTATGCCTTGTGTGACTGTCTCCATCTTGTTTTGTTCAGCACTTTGACCTTGTGTATGACTTGTGCTATACAAATAAGCAGCTGAAAAGTCAAAGTAAACACATCTCACCAAGTTGTCTGAGAGGAAACTACACATCATGTCGTAACGTCGTCAATATTTGCACCGGTCTAAAATTGCGACGTGAGAACCACCTCTTTTTTTGGGGGGAAATTTCAATGATGACGAACGCACATTTCTTTCTTTCCGAGGCAACTTTAGTTTCCGTTTCTATACAAGTCAAATTACAGGCCTATGCGATGCGTCTCCAGCGCAGCAGCACTTACCCAGAGGTCACCTTGGCCTGTCTGAGGAGGAATCTAATCTTTTCAGGTGGAATACATTTTTCTAAGAGACGCTCTGAGACCTCCTTTCTCTGCATGGGCTGAAGTGCTTTCTGTAAGGGCGGCAGAGCAAGAGCAGAGGGAGTGAAAAACATAGATTTGGCTGCACAGAGGCAATAAAAAACAAAGAAAAAACCCCCCCACTTTTTTCTGCTCAAAAGATCTAATCCCAATCACACTTTCCGCAAAGAGAGCAATGGAAAAAGTATTGATTTGTTCTTCAGGATTTTCCCCTCACTGTACTGGGAGCTCCTTCTCTCCAACAAAACGTCAAACCGCTCGGACGCTGTTGAGAGGTTATGTCGAAGCAATAGTCTTGATCATTTGTCAGAAGTTTTTTTATTTAATCATTTATTTGAGCAACATATAATACAGAGGTTTGCGTGCAGGAAACGCAGTCTCGGAAAAACGTGAAGGCAAGGCACGTTTATTGGTATAGCACAATTCATACGGTAACTCAACGTGCTAAAAAGAATCACACCAGGCGTTAAAATCATAAATAATCACAGTACATTAACAAAAGAGTAAAAATGTGTATGTACAGTTAAACAGAACTGTTTTTAACCTGGATTTGAACATTGTCCGGGAAGAAGTCCGTCTCACATTTTCAGGAAGACTGAATCTGAAATGCTACCTCCCCATGTTTAGTTCTGACTCTGGGCACTAACAGAAGATCAGTCCCTGTGCTCCTCAGAGTCCGAGTTGGTTCATATGGGACTAACATGTCACTTAAAACACACCATAAGTAAAACTAAATGTGGTTAAGAAAAAGTACCAAAGTATTGTACATTATTGAGCAGATTTTAACAAAGATTATAGCCTAAAAACTGAACTGCTGCAACAACTGCAAGTCAGTAAAGATTTGTATTAAATTTATCAGATAAAGCAGTGCGTACCAAAAGTAACATTCTAACTACTGTCATAAGAAATAAATCTCCAGTATGCATTTCCAGGTAGTGCTTTTACTTCAAATGGCGAATAAACTGAATATGAATCTGAATTTATGTCTATGATTCCAGGCTTAGATAGAGGAGTATTTTAGTCAGGATCCCACTTAGGCAGAACATGCCTTATGACAGGCCGCTTCTAGTTAGGCCATGTCATGATTACGGTTATCAAATTAGTCACTTGTTTTGAGTTGACCAGGCAGGATGAGCCGATACATCTGTCCAGAACCGCTCATATACACTGCAAAACTACCAGAACCCTCAGAGCCGTCATTTTGACTGCTCCCATGCTGACCAATGGAATTCTAAGAAGTTCCCCTACAGTGTACTATAGTGATATCCTTGAACCAATTACAATTATAGCCCCAGAGTTTTACTTTACTTTATTTTATCATCTTAATACTTAGTGATATATTTAATGTTATAACAAATCGTCTTAAATAATAGATCCTGTTTGTGGTACAATCTGAGTGCACTTATTTCCTCCTTTTATTCTACTGTACATTGACGTTGACATTTCCTCACTGTGGGAAGAATAAACGACTATCTTATCACATCTTATCTTACGACTTAAATAGCAATTGCCATGACCCCACTTCGTTTTTTTACATGGTATTATACAAATATTATGTTATATGGTATTGTACTTTCTGAATGAATGTAGATTGTAATAAATCTAACACTGTTGACATTTCGACCAATCAGATGAGAGTCCTTCAGATGCATGTGCGGTGGTCCACATATCAGCCTGACCCGAGCAGGTCACCAGGACCCACCAAACACGCGCCTCTTTCTAGTGCTCTTGTTTTTAAGGTAATGTCAGTAATGGCACAGTGACATTATCATACCAGGAAAGCAAAACAAAAAAAACAGCTCCATTGGAAATAGTATAGCGGCTTATTCATCCAAAAAGCGTTTGGAGACACATGACAACGTTGTTCCCAAATCACAAACAGACTCTGAGTTGTTTTTGCTCCGTCCAAACTATTATCATGACCTTGAGCATAAACACAGCTCAGTCTGAAAGAACTGGGGCCGTATTCCTAAAGATTCTTACTGCTAAAAGTTGCTCCTAGTGGCCAAATTCTAAGAATTTTCTTAGAATCTTGACCAACTCTTAGAATTTCCCCTAAAAGTGAGGAGTAGCTCCTAGTTAAGATAAAAGCTATTCCTAAAAAATCCTAGCTCTTAAGAGTGCTCTTAAGGGGAGATCCCTTAAGAGTTGAGAGGAGGACTTTTAGCGACTTAAAAGTTCCCTAAGAGCACAAAATGGTGGACGGTGGAGACAGGAGAAATATTCTATACACTGGATGATAGTGAATCAGTGAAACGCTACAGATTCAAGCAGGAATCATGTTTGTGGTATATTTAAAAGTCAATCATGTGACCAGCTTCTCATTGGCTGGTCAGCAATAACACCTCATCCATTTTACCTTTGTTACACAAAAGTAAGTAGAAATGGTACAAGTTGAAAGAGAGGAAAAAGTGGTCCTAAATTGTCACACATTCAGTACGAATGAATGAATACTTTATTTTGAGCCATGGCAAACAAGAAAAAAAAGGACAAAACAAACAAAACAACAACAGAATAGAAGTACAAATATACAGTTTTGTTTTATTAACAACAATCCAGCTCAAAAAGGAGTGGGAGAGGATAAGACTTTTAAGCTCCCTTGTACTTGATTTGTACAGTGTATGTATAATATGTTTATATTAATATTGTTTCCTTAATTCCTTATAAGTCTATACATAGTTCCTACATGACGTCACTACATACGGGGATTTGCCGACCCGGCGCCATTTGTGTTGGCATTCTGTGGGCAAAACAATAGAAAAAGAAGCTGAAACGTGTTAATGTCGTGATAAAGTTGAAAATGGTCATCTCCTGCTGGGTCAATGGATGTTCAAATCGTGCCGGAGGTTCCGTTAAACTTGGATTTTACAGTATACCCATCATTAGACTTCATGAATGTGAGAAGACTAAGCTTTTGTCAGAACAACGACGGAGGTTATGGCTTGCGAAGATAAACAGGCAAGAAACTCCCTCAAAACACGCAAGAATATGCTCGGAGCACTTTGTGTCAGGTGCGTATCGTATCTTATAATGTGTTGACAGACGTAATTTACTCAGTACTAACTTGTGTATGCTGATATCTGGTAACTTCAGAGTTTCATTATTTAGATTACTTTATTATGAGGAGGATCGGTGTCGCGTCCGAGGCTCTCGAGGGCAACGTAAATGTATTAAATAGATAATAATAGTTCTATGGTGGGCTAAAACAATGTTCACAAACAGCATTGCTTCTGTAAAAAGATCTGTGTCATAAAATAAACTGCTCTTTACGCCTGGAAAAATCAGTTGCCCACCATTCACCAAAACATACGGTCAAAAACGCGGAAATAAACAATAACAGCAATCCAGAGTGTCCGTGTGGCATTAGCATTAATTAAATTAATTGTTAATATAATTAAAATAATTAAATGGAGCTCCAACTGGTATTAAATCTAAAGTTTTTGAGAAATGTTTGCATTGCTTGTTAATTTTTGCTGCATAATTTGATCAAATATGTAAAACATGTCCGTAGCACGTTAAACTGTGGTGCCATTGTATTAATATACAATTATTTGCTCAAAAGTTGCCCTTTTTTTCCAATTTGCGTTTGAATATCTACATTTATTCTCATTCTTCTGTTTAATGGAATGCACAAACACAGCAGCGTGCCATCAAAGATGGCGTCTCCGAGGAGGTCATGTGACATTCATTGGTCTGTGGGAACTATGTATACATATCACAGCCTTTACTAATCCTAACATTATCATTATCATCATTTATCCATATAATATTTATAATAATAATTTTCTTTATCATGTATATTATATATAGAGTAATATTTAAATATATATATATATATATATATATATATATATATATATATATATATATATATATATATATATATATATAAAATTATAAGTGCTCATGATATATACGTATTATGTGTGATAAATTGGTGCTGAGCAAGCTCTGATGATGGTGTATAAGTCTAACTTTACTATTCACAGTATTTATGTACCATTGATATATCTGACTTTATAGCTTTTGGTTATTATTTACAATAACACAGTGTTCCACAGTGTTTGTTCTAACTTTTAGGATCAACCAATCACAGCGTCTGAAATGATGACTCATACCTAGCAACGGGTCGGCCACGCCTCCTCACTAAGATAAAAGTTGTTGTCAATTCCTTGCTCAGAGTTCTCTAAGAGTGTTCTGGAATAACTTTTAAGCTAAGACTCCTAGCTAAGAGTTTTTAGGTTAAGATAAGAGCTCTCTGAGAGGACTCTCAGAATCTTTAGGAATACGGCCCCTGTTCTCTAACTGGAAACACTGGTCAATCCTATTCGGAAAATGTACTGTCTCTAAATTAGTTTTTGGCAATTTCTCCAGCCATTATTACAACTGTTGGCTTCTCTTGTACTGTGCTATGTTTGATGTATGATTTTTTTTTAAAGCAGACTGTAATTTCCCATTTCTGGAATTTGTGGCTCAGTCTAACCGTCTTTTAATCCATATTACATGTCTGCTATAGTAGGTAGTGAAGGCGTTAATGCAGATTTTGTTATGACCACAAACATGAAGATTTGTATTTGATTTATTTTCCACAGCAAAGTACCTTAAACACAGCTGTTCGATGTATTCTGGTATAGCCATAAGTCACAACATTAGTTACATATCTCAGAGGACTTAACAAAACCGTTGAAATCGCTAACACAGATCAGAGAATCAAACAGTTAAAACACCAAACATATAGAACACGTCGGTTTTGGTCCATAGAGGAAGTTGACAGATGTCCATGAACGTTGATAGATATTCTTACATTTGTCTGTACTTGTTTTTATTCTGATGCTTTGATTGTGTTTTTAACTTGCTGTAGCACCTTGAGATGTGTTTGCATATATATGGTGCCCTATAAATAAAATCCATTATTATTATTAAAAAAGTAACAGACACCTGTTATTTAAAACAAAAAATTGCATCTGAGTCCATTAAACAGCCTAGCCAAATTAGTTTCTTCTTAATTTAAAATAACTGACGAATGATCAAAATCTGTCCCTAACCAATAAATACATTCCATCTATGTGTAGTAGATAGATAGACCTTTATTTTTGATCTATAATTTACTGGCTGAGTGAGGGTGGTCCTCTCTTTTTCACTTTTGTGTTTGAAAAAGCTGATCAAAAGAAGAGACAGAGGCCAAAAAATACATGCAAGTGGAATCAGTGATAGACCCAAACTGTGAGGAACGAGATAAATGGACTTTATCACCTAATTAAATGTTGGTTTGAAAGAGGTGTTCAAAGATTAAAGGCTTAGTGTGCAGAGGACTAAAATAATCAAAATGAATGAATCCTATTTTTTCCATTCTCTGTCTGTCTCCAGCACAAGCGGTGCATCCCAGCGTCCCTCGAGGCCTACTACGCCGCGCAGGATGCCAACTCCAGGGGGCGCTTCTACACAGTGATCAGCCACTACAGCATGGCCAAGCAGACCACCTCGCACTCCGTCTCCCCCTGGCTGCCCGGAGGAGGCGCTGCTGCGGGCGGACACCACGACTCCAAGCCCCCCAGCGGAGAGGCCCACTGAGCTAATGCTAACCATGCTAATTCCCATCTAGACCCACTGAACATTTAGGACTGCACTGCAAAAAAACTATTTCTAAATGAGTTTGTATTACTCCAGTTACATATATATTCTTGAGCCAATATTACTTTTTACAATCTACCAATGGAACGCGATTATTAGTATTAGATTAGTAGTATTTTTTGCTTGAAGCTAGGCTAGCTGTCTATATGACTGGATATAGTGAGTAAGGTGTATTGAAATCCTTACCGGCAAGCATATTTTTTTCCTCAATTACACCTTTTCGATATGCTTTTTCAGACCGAAAATAGATGTTGCTTTACTTACTATAGGCCCAAACCAAATAGATATGAAAGAGGACATTTTGTTGACACTGAGCAGTTACAAGATGCATACAGACATAACAGAAAATAAATCAGACCCCAAGGAGAGAGAGGGTTGTAGAGAAAGAGAAGGAGAGAGAGAGAGAGAGAGAGAGAATCCTAGCAGCCAATCAGCTCTCACCCCAAAGCGTCCATTAGCGACTCAAATGTCTCTTACTTACTTACACACTCTGTTTTATAATTCCATGAAGACAATGTGAAGCTGCCTAACCTTTCAAATGTGTGTGATTCAAGTAATTCTAACTCAATAGATTTTTTTTTGCAGTGTAAACACATGCTATAGCTGCAGATGGTAAATAGTGAAACATGCATGCAGACATCAACAGACCATTACTTACTTGTCATGAATTTCGATGCCAATTTGCTACATCAATTGATAGAAATATTGTGCGATTGGATAATACTAAGCCTATTAGAATGTGTCCAATGCTATCGTCAAAGCCTTGTGAAATAATTCTGAGCCTATAGAGTCATTTTGTTGAATTATAACTAGATTGAATGTCTCCAATCTACTTTTTCTGGTCACTACAATATTCCTATTCGTTGATGTAGTGTTTTGTCTAGATGGGGAATTATCATTGTCTGTACAACTCACCCGCTCAACACAACCTCATTTTATTTATTTAATGACTGCCATGTAATCATTTTAATTTTCTACTGGTGTACATGGATGTTTTGTATGTCGATATCAGCCAAATGTTTGTACAATTTCACACGAAGGCGCTCGAAAGCATTTATTTCTTTGCCGTTTTTTGTGCAGCCTAAGGATTTCTTATGTAACTCCCATTTGTCCATTTGTGAAGTCGGTTCGAAAAAAACCAGTGCTCCCAGCTGTACATAGCCCCCGATCCCAGTGACTTTCTTCTGTGTATGCACCACATTAGTAGATTTTTCTTTGTCTTGACGTGCACCTGCGTTTAGCTTTAGTCAGTTTCAGTTTTGTAGATTGATAATGTGTACAGTGAAGGCAGATGGGTAAGAGACATGCATATATGACCAACACGGCTTCTCCCGCTTTCGTTTTGTTATGGTTGTAGAGTTTGATGATAAAGATTTAGGGCCACAAAATGTAAAAAAAATGTATACAGTAATAAACACACATTACAGTCACAAGCCACCTACTATTCAAATTAGTTATTTTAGGATGACAGGGGCTGTAGTAGAGCTTACACCTGATGTGATGCATAGAGTGGAGCTAGTGCTAATTTTAGGTTCTGGTCCTAGTTTTGTCCAATGTTTTTCACTCAAAGCCTACAGTATATGATCAATTTAATAAAACATTAAAAACACAGCTTGTAATTTACAGTATGTAAGATTTGACTAAAAATGTTGCCTCGTTTTTCAAAATTTTAAAAAATGTGTAATGAAAAGTTTATACTCATGGTTGCTAAATATATGAGTCTAATTTACACAAAAGTTGTTTTCATTAGTCTGCTCCAAAATATGTTTTACTAATTTTTGGAAACTAAAGGCATCTGGTCAATTCCATTACTTTTTGATAACACATGATAACTTGACTACTTTTAGGGTTTAGGGACGTTTTCCCACAATATTTTAGAGTACGTCTGGAAAAATCACTGACTGCCTCTTTAAACTCTCAAATAATGGCTTTTCTAACGCATACATGTGTGAGAACTCCTCATTCATTTTTTTGGTATTTAGTCCCAAACAACAAACTTGACGGATAAAACATCCATAAATATTTACTATAAGCTCTGTTGCAACAAAATCTTTACTGACGAAGGACCAGCCCCATTATCTGATGCTTTTAAAAAGGATAGGCAAAGACAGCAAACGGCAAAAACAGACGTGTTTCTCCTTCATTATTTCTCCAACGCAAATTGCTAATAGCAGCTTATTTGAGGGGACTTGCTCAAGACGGGATTAAATAATAGTTGTATGGCTTTGAAGTATGATCAGCTATATATATAAACAGTTAGATAAAGATTACATTTTTGTCCCTGGTTTAGTCCCATTGTGCATTTTTCAGATTTTAGTCATGGAGGAAGTGGAAGTCTAGGCTCAAGTAATGTATAAAATTGGAAGAAAATGGATGGATGGGTTTTGTTTACCGAATCCTTCACATTCGACAATACAAATCACAATCCACAACACACACTCACTGCTTTTTGAATGAATAAAACCTCACTATCAGATGGTTTTGTTTTCTCTTGTCGTGGCCCTAAACCTGTGTCATAAATCTTATCTGCCGTAGACTTGCGTCCAATATCGTCTCTGCCGCTTTTTCCGTTGTTTGTTGTCAGCTTTGATCAGATATTGTGATGCTGTTCTAGTTGAAATGTAGCGATAACCTGCTGTGTTTTCAATGTTTGCCGTTTCTCTTGGTTTGAATAGAGAATAAAACAGTTGTGCCCCGTGTGTCGCCGTGTCTGTCCGCCTGATTTTTGTAAGCAAAGCCTCGGGTGAAAAAAGTGAGTGAGGGGAACAGACTTGATTCGAAGTGGGCTCTACACCAGGGGTCTCCAACCTTTAGCTCGGGAGCTACCAGCTGCTCGCCGACCCCTTTCAGGTAGCTCCCCAAAGGATTTAGATTTTAGCAAATGAATATCTTGAATGAAAACATTACCTATCTATTTTAAATATAAAAAAATATATAGGGTTTTTACTGTATTGTATATTTACGTGTTCTCTGTTTTGTCATAAATATTGCAAAAAGGAGTAGCTCTCTTCCTCTTTTGTTGCATCAAAGTAGCTCTCTGGTTGAAAAAGCTTGGAGACCCTTGCTCTACACTCTACATGATGCTGCTCCTCCTGGGAACTATACAAAAACTATTAAAATGCAATGTCCATAAATGATTATAAAATGTAGAGTCTTACAAGTTGCAGCGTATGTTCAAAGACACAGGTGAAACTCAGAACATTAGAATATTTTTCAGAAGTTCATTTATATGATTCAACTTCCAGTGTGAAACTAATCCATGGCATTAACCGCAAAGTGAGATATTAAGATGAAGAGATATCTTATTTGTTCCATAGTTGGGAAATTTCCTTGTTGCATTACAAGTTAAAGAACAGTAAGACTGAGGAGCACATAACACAAGATAAGTGAATATTAAGTATAGCACATTCTGCAAAAAAATATAAAATCAGAGGTAAAAAATGCTTGAATCAATTGGTTTTTGTGTTCATTTGAGTACATTCTGACCGTCTTAAATCAAGATTTGCCAGTGGGACGAGGTTATTTAGTCTTATTTCAGAAACTGTTGCTTTATTTTCTCATTTCAAGGAAGATATTTATTGTATATTTTAACAACAAGATCATTTTGCTTTTTCCCGTTGGAAAATCTTGTTGTTGGAAAAGCAGTCAAAATGTGCTCAATCTAAGATACATTTTTCCAAACGTGAGCTACTCTATTCTATTATGATGATTATTATTGTTATGTTATAATTCCCACCTCTGCACCTTCTCCACCGACTCCCACTGATGACTGCTGTCGTTGTGTCCTTGGGCAAGACACTTAACCCCACTTTGCCCAAGGCCCCCACTGAAAGATCAAGGCTATGCTCACACTCAGAGAGCAGCCGTCCTCCTGTGGACTCACCACCTGCAGAGGGTCAGTGAGGGGCTGGTGCTATGAGACTTGGGTGGCATCTCTGGCTGCCACCCCCCTGACCCAGAAGTGGATTAAGGGGTAGAAAATGGATGGATGGATGGATGGATGGATGGATGTTATAATGTAATTGGATCACAGCTTGTAAAAACCCCAAATCAAACATCTCAGAATATTATTATAGTAAACAGTGGGAATTATGTCTTCTTTCTCTCTGCAAAAAGCCAAAACAAGTGAAAAGATTGGATTATACAGTAAAAATAATATTCTTGTCGGACTGAGCATTGAGCCTGAGGCCTAATGACAGTTGCTTGGATCAGGGATGGATTATCTCCGGAGGCCACAGTTTGGACATTCCCTCATTCACAGATATGTTGTCATGAAATGCCTAAAAGGATTTAAATTGAAATATTACAGACGGTTTCAAAAATGATAGAGAGAGGAGCAGCGCGTTTCACAGCCACTCTTTCCAACAATCTTCCTTGAGATTAGGGGTTCTACAAAAAAACACTGTTTATAATTTGAACAGTTAAAAAGAAATGAAGCAACAGCAATACTACTATGTTTATGTTGCTTAAAGCTGGGGCACCAACTTTCAAACACCAATACATGTAGGCAAGGCAAGTTTATTTGTATAGCACTTTTCATACACAAGGCAGCTCAAAGTGCTGAACAAAACAAGAAAGCATTAAAATCATAAATAATCATAAATGTAGCTTGTTATCAAATCCCTTTTTCACAAACAAGTGTTTTTTGGCCTCTCTCATCTTTATATCTGTTTTTTTCAGAGTGTGGAAATAAGAGGACCACCCACTCTCAGCCAATCATCAGCCCAAAGGGTCAATTAGTGACTCACAGGGCCCACAATACCAGTATCATATAGTTTAGCAATATTTTTTCTAGTCATGCAAAATATAATCTGTTTATTGTTTTGAGATTAAGATTAAGTAAGGGATAATATTACGCAGGTCATTATCGGAAAATAAGTAAAGACAGGGCGAAGCGTACCCAGGTGCGCAACAAAAATTGCATGTTATAGTTCCCAAAT